AGTCCCGCAATGCTCGGCTACAAACCAAGCTTTGCTGAATTGTGGAACCTGCTGGGAGGAGGCTAATGGGATGTAACTGAATGGGTAAGTTGGGGAGTTTGGCAGTGCAGGGCTGGAGGCTGGGAAGAAGTTCCGAGCAGCTGCATACGTTTTGGTGGGGCTCACTTTGTGAACACAAAGGGACTTTTTTTTCCTTGATGTGCTTAAGGGAGGCAGCGACCAGAACCCTTGGTTGCTAATTACTGCCTGCCAGGAAGCATTTTTGTCAGCCACTGCAGTTCACGACAACCTTAAAATAGGCGATTTATTCCAAAAGCTTTTCTTCCCAGTAAGATTATGTTAACTGTAATTTGCATTTTAATACAGCTCCAAAAAGAGTCACAGCTGTGTTCATTCCTGCGCAAGTGTCTTATTTCTTTTTCAGGACTTAACACTGGATTCCTGGAATTTGCAACCAAACCTTGGCCACTCTGAGGTACAGGGGGTGAGCTAGGCTACAACTACTATGCAGGAAGACTAAGAGTTCAGGACACCCCATAAAACTCCAAAGTCCGCATGTGGCTGGTGATCACTCTCAGGACTTGTCTACATTGTGCATTAGTCTGCACAGAGGGGTGTACCTTTTAGTTTGCACTAGTGGGTTACGAGCTGTCTGGCTTGGGTTGAACCTGCTGGTGCACACTAAAAATGTCCTAGCGTGGATTAATATAATACTGTTTGAAACAGAGCTACATTAATGCACCTTAGGAAAATCTGAGTGCACATGAGTATAGTTAATGTCTGATACGCTTAAGACGACAATTTACTCCTCCCCCTTCTAGTGTGGATTAAAGCACCGTGTAAACAAACCCTCAGTCTCCTGAACTGATTATTGCAAGGGTCAGGAAGGAATCATTATGCTTTTTCCATCAACTGGGGCACCTTCTATTGGCCATCCCCAAAGGCAGTCGTTGGCTTGATGGACCAATGACTTGATCTGACATAGCAAATCCTATGGCCCTATTTGATCTGACCGAAAAGTGGTGGCTGGATAGGGTAGATTTGGGGATGTAGATTTCTGATTTTTTAGCTGAAATTCAAATACTGAAAAAATGGGGCCAAAAGCAGGGGAAAAAAAGTCAATCTGACATTACCACTGTAACGTCTCATGTTCCTGTTCTCCTTTATCCATTGGGTTCCCTGCTTGGACTACATCTCCCATGATGCACTATGGTCTAGTCTCTTGGAGGCAAATCTAGTGCACCATGGAAGTCCCTGGCCATAGGGCATCATGGAAGATGTAACCCAATGTGAGAGCCTGGCCCACAGAGGAAACCTGATGTACCTAAACTATATCTGCCATGATGCACTGCAGAGGCATTCCAAATCAAAGCAATTTGGTTCTCAGGCATTCATTTGTTGATGAAAAATTGACAGTTTCCACAGAAAGTGGACACTATGCGGGGAAAAATTCTCTCTGGAGAAAATCCAACTTTTGGTCAAAAACCAATTTTGACAGAACATTTTTGAGCTGCCTACCATGCTATGACAATGGAAGCTTCACTTCACCAATGAGATTATTTTCCAAATCCAATAGTCCAGTTGGAACTTTTCACGAGACACCCAATAAATCAAAATCAATGGGCCCATAGGGTATCACAAGCCAGCAAGACTGAAAGGCAAAGGCCATTACATCACCGACATTCGCCTTGCCTCCTTCTCTTGTTTAAAATGGCCATTCATTTCTGGCTGCTGTAGATATCAAATATCTAGTTCCCTCATTAACCCTTTGAAGAAACAAGTAAGAGGTGTGGTAAATTCTCCATCGCCAGGTGTTTTTGAACCAGGATGGAATGCCTCTTTCTACCAGAGGTGCTCTAGGTCCCACAAGTTGGACCAGATGCCCAGGGAGAAGTCTCCTAGCTAGTGTTATGCAGGAAATCACAACAGATCATTACGGTCCTTTCTGGACTTAAAATTTTCAAGTGAAACTAAAGAAGGGCTGTCTCCCCAAACACAGCTAGAAAAACGGGTTATCGGTCGGGGGGAACACACCTTTCCTGGTACAGAACTAACAGAGGAAAAATTTACATCAGTGGTTAAAATGCAGGTGGAAACATTAACTGGAAAGATTCTGCCCTTCAAGGCCAACTTATAAGGCCTATGTGTAATTTGTACAAAATATTTCCAATCGGACAAGTTTCAGTGGTGATCTAAGGGGACACGATGGCATTAATGGTCATGCTGATGCTGCACGTACCATAGGTAGGAAACCTGAATAATCTCATTTCCACTAACGGCTTTGTGAGATGCAGCAGAGAGCCCAGATTGCCAGTGCAAAGTACACACATAGGGGCTGTGTCTACACTGGGCCCCTTATTCCAGAAAATCAGCCGCTTTTCCGGAATAAGCTGCGAGCTGTCTACACTGGCCCTTGAATTTCCGGAAAAGCAACGATGCTCTACTGTACAAAATCAGCCGCTATTCCAGAAAACTATTCTGCTCCCGCTCGGGCATAAGTCTTTATTCCGGAACACTGTTCCGGAAAAGGGCCAGTGTAGACAGCCTAGTAGTCTTTTCCGGAAAAAAGCCCCGATCGCGAAAATGGCGATCGGGGCTCTTTTCCGGAAAAGCGCGTCTACATTGGCCACAGACGCTTTTCCAGAAAAAGGGCTTTTCCGGAAAAGCAGCCTGCCAATGTAGACGCTCCTTTTCCAGAAAAACTGAAAACGGAATAGTATTCCGTTTTAAGCATTTCCGGAAATTCATGCCAGTGTAGACACAGCCAGGGTGTGTTTACACAGCAAAGTTATTTCGGAATAATGGCCGAAGGAGTGAGGTGCCTCACGAGAGCTGGGTGCCTGTTTGCCTTAAATGTATTGGAAAATCTCAGCTCTAATTTCACCTCCCTGGGGTCTGGAAGCATTATGTGAGTAGCCTTTCACCTCCGGGGTAGTGCAGCTGTTAACACCAGCAGACCCTGGTCATCTGCAAGCAGAATTGAACTTGGGACCTGGACAACTTAGTGCATGAGGCTCTACCCCATGGGCTAAAAGCCATCCAGCTATTAGCTAAGCCTGTAGAGCAGACTCATTATTCTCTCTATAAGTGGTCTCAGTGTCACTTGATGGGACGGTGAACCACCCCCACATGGTATGTGGGTTACACAGGAACAGATCAAAATGCACCGAAGGCAAAAATCATCCATATGCCAAACGCCAGAATAGTCCACTTAAGCCTTATTATCATCTTACTCTATATTTCAGAAACATGCACCTGTCTGTCTGTCCAGCCGTGAGTCTGCTGGTCCAAGAACTTCAAAACGGTCAGAGCTAGGACCACCCCATTTGGTACACAGCTAAGTTATCGTAACTTAGAGCAAGGTCAGGGTTTGGTTGTGCCAGGACAATCGGGAAACATTCTCTCTGCAGAGAGGGGGAGGCTGCGTGCGATCTCACTGCCCCCAGCCCAATCTTCAGCTCGGAGGGGCCAGAAACAATTGGCCAGTAGGAACTGACCCCAGCCAATCTCTCAGCTCCTATTGGCTGGAAACTACCAGCTGATAAGACCTGAGAAATTGGCCTGGGGATGGGACCAGCGCAAGTTTCTTCCCTGTCCTGGAGCTGAGAGCCACTGTGGGGTTTGCAGTCTGCAGTTTTAAGTGATTTGGGGCTGCAGCAGGCAGGGAGCCCAGCTTGCCTCGGGCGTGCTGCAGGGCTGCTGACTTAGGTAAGCGTCTCCCAGCCACAGCCTGCCTCTGGACCCCAGCCACTCCTGCTCCCCAACTCCCTCCCCAGATCACCATCCAAACCCTCTGCACCACCTTGCCCCTGATCACAGCTCCTTCCCAGAGTCAAAGCCATTTGGACAGCTCAATGCCGGGCCAGTCTCCCAACGCGCGTGGAGGGGGAGAGGAGACATGAGAACTTCTCTGCAAGCAGGTCTCAGCCGAACAACTGGAACGTATCCTGATACCAGCCCCGGGCAGCTCAGCGGGACGCGGTTGTGTTTTCTCAGCACCTCTGGGTGACCCACGTTAGTGGTATTGCCCTCTGTCTGCACGGCTGGCTCCTTGACGGACAGTTACACCAGCCAATGGATCCTGCACTAGCACACACCCCTCGAATTACGCCCCCCCGATTTAGCCCAGAGTCCGGACTCTGCTTGGCAGCTGCAAGCTCGCAAAGAAGAGCAGGCCGGGCTCCTCCAGGAACCGCAGAGTGACTAACCGAAGGGTAACGCTAAGCAGTCGGCCTTCCCTTCTCCGTCACGTCCCACGTCAGCCTCACTTCATGCACCTCCTCTCCTGCTATCTCTCTGGGGGTTTCCTCTGGCACCCCCCTCTGGAGCACCCGGCTGCCATGTCTGGCCTGAGACCCCGAACATAAAGATGCCTGCCCTACAGACAGGGGAGCCGGCAGCCACGCCAGGTCCCTGTGCAAGGTGGCAGGTTTCACTCTCTGCTCTCAGAATGGGCAGGTTGTTGCGCAGAAGGGGCGGAGCCTCAGGAGTAAGGGGCGGGGCTAGGTGCTGCCAGCTAGGTTTACGACCTGGACTGCAGTGCGCCCCGAACACCAGGAATGTGAGCAGTGATTCAGAGCCTGGGCCGCTGGGTCCTTTTGAATTACAGGGCCCTGGGGCAGTTGCCCCCTTTCCCGGCCCCCCGTGGGCAGGCCTGCTTGCAGGGCAAACACAATTACCGACCTCCTCCTGGTGCATTCCTGTCCCTTCCCCCCATGGCTAATTCAGGGGCTGGTCTGACCCTCACCTCCTACTGATGTCAGCAGAGCTGAGGCGTTTTGCCACCTCGCAGGCCGGCGTGGCCTGTCTCCCTGCCCGCGGAAAAGCGGGGAAAGCTTTGTGAAGTGCTGACCGCCGTCTGTGACAGGAAGTGGGTTAAGAGAGGGTGTCCGGCGGGAGACCCCGAGACGAATGACTTTAATCGGAAGGGGGCGCTGAGTCCCCACTCCAAGGCTGGGCTAAAATTACGGCGGGTAAAGAAGCGGCGCAGGGGCTCTGACCTTCAGTTTGTGCTCGTGCTCCTTGTTGACCCGGGACAGCAGCTGGGCCTTCCGTCTGTTGAGCGCGTCGATGAGGGCGTCGCACTGGGCTACCAGGCAGGCTTCGAACTCCACGCTGTTCTCCTGCGTAACAAAGCACGTCTCACAGCCGCGGGGATGTCACCGGCACCTGCCGCCAGCCACCCAGCGGGGGTGGAGGAGGGCCCGGGGCCCCAGGTGTGCGCTGGGAGGAAGGGCTCTGTTGGGTGGTCACCATTACCTCCTGGACAAACGGCGCGTGGGTGCGTCAGACACGCCTGGGGCCCAACCGTGCAGCCCTCTCTCCGGCAAAGCGCCTGCCGCCTTCCGTCAGGTGTGACGCTTGGGGCTATTTTAGGCTCTGTTTGGGTTAGTTGAGCTACCCCGCACAAGTGTTAAACGAACGTCCATGGGCCACGATGAACCTTCCTGGCGCTGAGCAAAACCTACTCCGGGAACAGTCCCAGCGGACACCGCGGGGCGCCAGGTGCTCCTCAGGGTGGCTCAGCCGGGCCCTGGACACTGTCCTGCAGTGGGGCTTTCTATGTCCATGGGAAGGGAGATGAAGGGGGCAGGCTGCTCTAGGGGTCAGCAAGGGGCTGGAGGAGGCATGGAGGAGCACTTGTCTGGAGGGGCCCCCCACACGCCAACTACTCTGACTCCATCTAGCTGGAAGCTCCCATTGGTGGGGTGCATGGGTGAGGGGAAGGAACCAGGGCCGTGTCCAGACTCAGGGGTTTTTTCCCGAAAAAACTTCCCCTGCGTCCAGACTCAAGCCGCGTTCTTTCGAAATTATTTCGAAAGAACGCGGCTTTTCTTTCGATGGCGGTAAACCTCATTTCACGAGGAAGAACGCCTTCTTTCGAAAGCTCCTCTTTCGAAAGAAGGCGTTCTTCAATGTAAAGAGGCCGTCTTCGAAAGAGAACATCCAGACTTGCTGGGTGCTCTCTTTTGAAAAAGCGGATTTCTCTTTCGAAAGATCCGCCTGCAGTCTAGACGCTCTCTTTCGAAAGAGGCTCTTCGATGGAAGGGACTGGGAAGGGACTGGGAAGGGTTGTCTTGGGGAGGGATAACAGTCTGCAGGCTGGGATGCATATAGGAGGTTAGATTAGATGCGATGGGTAAATACCGGAGGAACTGGAAGAGCCGAAACCAGGTGGATTTGATGGAGGATGCATATATTTGTCCCAGTGTTCGAAGGGTTCAACCACTTAGCTGAACTCTTCCTGCCTCCACCTGGTGAAATGGTTACTTTGTGCTGCATATTAAATGTTAATTGCACTAATGACGAGCTGGAGGATGGCACCTGGTAATGTCCTTCAAGCAATTTACCCATGCACAGTCTGTGCGGTGCTGTCAACACGCTTTGTTGCCTTCGGGCTCATGTGCCTCGTGCCCAAAAGATTGCAGATTTGATCTGCACATTATCAGCACCACACTAATTTGGGCCTGCAATAATTCCTTAATCCCGAAGAGTTTCACTGAGCTGTCGGAATCTGTATTCCCTTGGGGGCGCTAGTTGGGATGAGAAAACCCTCTGATGGTTTGGGGGCTATTATGTTCATCCGGTCAGATCGGGTGGTTGCGAACCTCGATTTCGGGGGTTATCGAACCAAACAGGAACTGCACACGACACTGAGCTGTACCTCGGTACCCGGCGAAGGCACCACCTCGTCCCTACATCCAGCAGAGTTCCCTCAAAATGGGGCCAAGATGGGAGCCACTGGCCCAGCCTATAAAATGAAATCTTGTCAATAAGTTGTCAATAAGGCATTTGTTGGAATAACTCACGAGCACTAGGGCGCCGCTAAGGTGACAGCATTGAGTAAGTAGGACTGAGGTTCCCGATTACCTCAGGCAGGGTCTGATTTGGCTACCCTTACTCAGGTGAGACCTCTCACTACATTCAGCAGACTCAGGTATCATTACTTAGTATGTCCGTTGCCGGAGCAAACGGGGCCCCTCCCCCCCATCGTGCTAGGGGCTGGACAAACACAGAACAAAACGATGGCCCTTCCCCCAGAAGTAGCCGCGGCGTCCTCATTGGGAGGGCTTCCAGGCTTAGAGTTGAGGACACGCTATTTACGCGCTTCGCTTGGCGGGGGCCTCCCTGACTTGAAAGGGGCGTCGCGAGACAGCTTGTGCGAGGAAGTGCTCACCAGGAAGGGAGAGGGCTGCACGGTTTAGCCCTTGCCCGAGGAAGAACTACAGATGTGGCTAGCATGGACCACTCTCACGCTGATGTCACCTCGCTCTGAGGTAACATCCCTCAGGGGGTTCCATGAGGTGAATCAGGCCCTGAACCAGAACAGGCTCCGGGATAACTCACAGAGGGAAGGACGCAGCTAACTCGGTCACTGTGTACATGAAGTGCGTTCAGGGGAACTAGGCTCCAGATCTAGTCAGTGCTGCTATCCACGCTGCTCCCCCGGAGGCACATTCACATCCGACACGTACAAACCGGGGCCGGGAAGCCTGCTGGATTCGGCTGGCGGGGCGGGAGGAAGGGGAAAGGCTGCCCGTTGGCTGGGAGGGGGCGGGGAAGCGAGCATTTGACTTGGGCAGCAGCGGAGATGGCTGAGGGTTCATCCGCGAGCGCCATGGGGAAGGGAGAAAGTGGCCTGGGCGAACAGCCAAACAAGCTGCCTGCGTGAGAGAGAGCGGCGCTTTACGCGGTCAGAGTCTAAGCTGCGTCTGCTGGAAGCTTTGCTGAACGTTAGCCTCGAAAGCCTGTTTTTCTGCGCCACCCGCTCGCTTTCCCCTCGTGCGGATGGGCGCAGTTCGGACCCACAGTCTTGCCATCCCCAAAGCTTGAGGGACGGGACACTAATCCTTCCACTGAAGAAACCCAGGGGATCAGAAACAGCCAGACTGTAGCACTGCCTCCTGCTTAGGTAGGGCTGGATCCCAACCCCTCTCTCCCACCGAATCGCACTGTGCTGTGAGGAGATTCCTGTTGATTTCTGTGGAGATCACTGCTCCGGGTGAGGGGGTCAGAATCTAGCCCCAAATGGCTTGATTTTACGCCCACAACAGCATGACTCTGGCAGCATTTCCAAAGAACATTCAAACAAATTCCCTTAAAAATCAGACTAGCATGTTTAAACTCCCTCATTTTGTGGGCATGGCTAGGCAGAGGAATCTTTGCTTCTCCTTCAACTGGTACACGGACACCCTTGCTGACTGCCAGACTGCAAATTAGAAGAGACTTTGCATCTCCCACTGGCTATCCATCATCCGTGTTCCTTTGGGGAAGCCAGGACAGGCCGAGGCAGTGTTGTTCTATGGGCAGTGAGGTGGAAGACTGACTGATAATTATCTAGTATAGGTTGAACCTCTCTAGACCGGCACCCTCGGGACCTGACCGGTGCCCAACCAGAGAATTTGCCAGAGGTCAATATTGTCTAGCAGCATTGCCAACACTTCCACGGCTCCCTGGGATGTTAGAAGACATGTGGGGGAATTAGAGCTAAAGAACAGAACAGAACAGAAATGAAGCTCTCATTTGCATATCTTCTTCTGATTCTTTTTGCGGAAGAGGTTTTGCCGCTAAAAAGCCCCATGTAGACGGGGTCATTTGTCAGAAAAAAACCTGTTTTGCGCAAGATCCTTTATTCCTTAGAAGATTGAGGTTTACGGGATCTTGCGCAAAAGGGGTTTTTTTCCCGACAAATGACCCCGTCTACTTGGGGCTTTTTATCAGCAAAATCTCGTCCGCAAAAAGAATTGGAAGAAGATATGCAAATGAGAGCACCATTTGCATATCCTCGTCCGCAAAAAAACGGCAGTGTAGCTGCAGCCGGAGAGCCAGGACTGGTGGCTGTAAACAAACTTTATGGGACTGCGGGAAACTTGGCCACACCCATGATGAGCGGACATCCAGCTAATTCAAATCATGCCGGATCACGGATGTTGCCGGACTAGAGAGGTTCAACCGTAGCTGCTGCTCCTTGCACATTCACGAAGAAGTCCTGGTGACAACCCCTGAGGGAGGGAATGAGTACATCAGCTAGCAGGAGGCTGAGGGAGGAATGCCAAGGGGTCCGGAAATGTGGGGCCAGCTCTGTGTGTGGGAGGGGAGCACCAAGCAAAGACAAGACATGGAGGTGATGCATGAAGTCACAAACGGCGTATTAACCTGTTGGGGGTTTGTTTCTCTAGCGGGTTGGTATGGTACCTGGATTTGCTGAACCATGTTTCGTAGCTGCACCAGGAACTCTTTGGCTTCCTTGGCTCTGTCTGACAATCCATTCAGCGCCTGGGAGAGCTGGCTCTGCACGCAGAAAGAAATGCAAAGCAGGTTAGCGATAACCGGGGAATAGAGGAGTAAGGCATGGCATTCATTCACACCGAGGAACATGTACTCTGGCCCCATGTCGTCCATGGAGGAACCATTCTCTAGTGATTGGTCTGGAGTTCAGAGTCCAAGCCCAGACCCCCTTTAGCTGTGTAACCTTGGGCAAATCATTGGTGGTAGCCCCGTGCCTCAGTTTCCCCAAATGTAAACAATGAGAGGAAGGATGGTCCAGTGGTTAGGGCGTTACCATGTGACTTGGGAGCCTTGGATTCGGACTTTTCTGGGTGACCCTGGCCCAGGCACTTAGGGCTTGTCCACACAAATATTTCATTTGTGGCAAGCGAGGGCGTGATTCTAGCTCCCCTGCCATGCACTGTGTCCGTGTGAACCCAGCTGATGCCACTAACAGCTTGTTAGTGAGCACCGGGAAGAGACGCTGGCCCCAAATGGCCTGATTTTACGCCCACAACAGCATGGCTCCAGAGGTGTTTCCAAAAAACGTTCAAACAAATTCCCTTAAAAATGGGACGGCAGCTTTGCGGGTTAGAAGCAGACTTTGCATCCCCTGCAATAAATAGACACAAAGGCTGAACGTTTCAAACTCAGGCCACTAGATCCACAGACAGGCACCCCGGTAAGCAGCCTGAATTTGATGAGAGGAGCACTCAGTCCTATCGTGCATGGCACCTTATAGATTATCGAAACTGGCGACTCTCCGACAGGGGGTCAGAACCAGGGCTGGCTTAGACTCCCGTGAGCCAAGAGCTGGAGCCAAAGCCCAACCCTCACTTTCCAAGGCCCCAGCCTGTCTGTTATTAAGTTCTTCTCCCTAATTTCTTCTATGCACACTGTCGCTACCCTCCAATTGCCTGCCATGAATTGTAATTCATTGGATTATGTTATATTAACACTTCAACATTATTGGGGGAAAACACCCTTCGATAAAGATGTTTCACTGTTTCTGAATCAATCATTGTCGGAACTCCAGTGCAGTGATACATTTTGGAATTGGAACTTTTCATCCTGATTCAGGGGGAAAACAAATTTCAAAAGGCCGGAATTTCCCACAAGCTGGACATACCATTCTGCAGCAAGCTCCACTCAGAATCTTTATGTATTTACCCGCATGGACACCTGAGACACAGGGCAGTCCTCTAACACTCATCTGGCAGAGGGACACTGAGGCACAGAAGGCATGTCTACACTATGGAGAAGATCGACCCCCCCAAATCAAATGCTGAGGGCAGCCCCCTCTGATGATGTGTACAGGAGGCCCCCGCTTTGCGACGGCCTGATTTACGACCCCCCGCACTTACGACCTTTTCCGTAAGTGTGGAAGGGGCCCAAATCCCCCAACTTACGTCCTCGGCCCCGCATGTATGATGGCGTGTGACACCTGTCGTAAATGTGGATTCAAGCGGAACGGATCGCGTCGCAAGTCGGGGGCAGCCTGTACTCCTGTTTCTGCGAGGAGTAAGGGAAGCCGATGGGAGCGTGTGTCTGGTCTAGTCTAGACATAGGCAGAGGGATTAAATGACTTGATCAAGGTCACACAGAAAATCTGTAGCACAGCAAGGCACTGACCCCAGCTCTCCGGGGTCCCATCTTAGCACTCTGTCCCTTCGAGCACAAAGGTTACTTACACTGTAGCAGCTTCTCACCTGAGATACTCCAGCAGAGACTGATAGAGCCACGGGGCAAAACACAATGCTCCTACTAACTAGCTAGCAGTTTTCATTTTCATAAGGCTTTCCTATCTCCCCCCCGATTTTGAGAAGTGCCAATTCCACATTTGCTCTATGCAATTCTCCGTCCCGTGGGCTACAAGTGCTGCTGTTTCTGTGGCGAAGGTATTTGCTAGAAGACTGGTGGAAAGTGACTGTCAAAGGGGCGCAAGCACAGCCAATGAAAATTCATTGAGAAATGGCCACTACTATTTGCAGCAATTCGATCGCCATGGCAACCTACCTCATCAGTTCTGTCAGACCCTCCCCCTCCCCGGAGACACTGAGGCAGAACAGCTGGGAGGGGGATGAGTCCGAGGTCCACACGGCGCCACCAGGCATCCTGCACAATGCAAAACCACCCTCCCGCAGTACCACTGTCCTCTGTGCACTTTGGGAGCCCCCCTGGTGACATCACAGTGAGGCTGGGGGCTGAGGGTGCTCCTCACCCCTGAGAATCAGGCCCCGTGTGTTTCAAGAAGCAGGCCTCGGCTAAGCAGTTCAGCCCCCGATTCCAGCTCTCCTTCCTCCCACCCGTCGTTCCATTTCGAGGCTTTTGCTGTGGGTTTGTCTCCTAAAGTTTTGCAAAATGGAATTGGCAGGAAATCGATGTCACTCGTAAAACCGATTTCTCCTTCCTGATTTTGTTATGGCAGTGCCTCCAAACCCCGGCGCAGGCCCCTCCGTGCAAGGTGCTGCACCGGGGTGCTCAACACTGACCACCGGAACCTTCCCCGCCCCCTGCTCCGCCTCTTTCCCCAAAGCCCCGCCCCCTGCTCCGCCTCTCCCCAAGACCCCGCCCCCTGCTCGGCTGTTACCTCTCTCCACCACAACCGTTCCTGAGAGATCCTCCAACTGACGTGCTTGCTGCCCTCTAGTGGGGGAGGCCAGCTATTGCAGGTAACTAGACTTACCAAACACTGCCAGCTTCCCTTTTCGACCAAACTATCTGGTTGAAAACTGGACACCTGGCAGCCCTAGGCTGGACACGCATCTGTGTGCATTCCTGGTCTCCAGGGTCCAGGAGTTTACAATCTGAACAGACAAGAGGAGACACGGTGCAGGTGTCCAGGGTCTCCCAGCGGCAGAGGTGGGAACCGGCCCAGCTCTCTAGAATCCCAGTTCCAAACTGCAGCTATTATCTCACCTGGTGATCACGAAAGTCTAACAACACCTGCCCCCTCCCCCACACGCACGAGAAGTCCCAGCCTTCTGCCAAGTGGAGCTGTTTTCAATGACTGTACTGCAGATGCGCAAGGGGACGGCCCCTTCCTGCCTTTGAGCCCGCGTTAGAGCAAAGCTTCCTTTGTCAGCGAGCTGGGGGTAAAACTGCTCCTTGCCATCCATCTCTCCTGCTTGTGCAGACCAGGCAGCTGACAGGATGATACACAGCAAGGCAGATGTGCAGTGCATAGACAATGCTGCTGAATGAGGGATTAGAGCAGGCAGTCGTAGGCACATGCACAGCAAGCAGAGGGAACCGTAAGGTACAGGAAATCCATCCATCGGCTGTCGCTGCTTTCCCTTTCTCAGGCCCCAAGAACGGCCTCTGTTTCTCTAACGCAGTGATTTCACAGAGCGCTGCAGAGCTAGGGCGGGAGGTGGGAGGCAGAGCAGGAAGGCTTCTTTTCTTTGTGGAAATTGAGCCCGGAGGCAGTAAAAACCCTGGGAACTACATTTGGTCACAAAAAAGTAGCTGGGCCAATTGGTCCCAGGAGTTCTGCATTTGCGCCTTGTTAGTGGCTTCTCCGCTGCACAGAAAAGCAGCCCAGAGGTTATTGCTCGTTGCTTTCGTTTTGCAAGCAGGGATGTAAAATCCCAGTTATTCATATAACTAGTTAAACCTTAGAGTTAACCAGTGAACTGGCTAAGTGGGATCCCACTCCCGATCCCCCCCACTCGTGCTTGGGGCTGCTGCTCCTGGCTCCCTCCTCCCCTGTGTTTGGGGCTGCCAGCTTCTGATCCCCCCAATGTGGGTAAGCCAGCTCCTAAGTGCAGCGCACTGCTGCGGGCGGAGGCTGTTCCCAGGTACCGATTAACCAGTCCCCAGTATGGATCACCTGATAAGTGTGATGCTTACCAGGTAACCAATCAATCAGTTACCCTTTCACATCTCTATTGGCAACTAGGGATGTTAAATGTAGATTACTTGGCTAATCGAATAGTCAATGCAATTTACATCGACTATTCGATTAGCCAGTAAGGACTCCCCAGCTGGCTGCACACGGCGATCAAAGCATCAGCGCCATGTGGAACCCAGAGTCTGACCCCGGGCTTTGAAGCACCTGCTCTTCTCCCCACATTTGCTGCTTCTTTCTGAAAGAGGCACCAAGGGACGGGGGGAGCGACTAGCTGACTAGTGTGTCGACTAGTTGTTCACGTTCCGATAGGCAACTCACACTTTCTTCTTGCCTTTTAATTGTCATGGAGATTCTCTGCACCCAAGCTCCAAGTCACACCGCCACGTTAACCCAGGAGATCTGCCTTTCTTTCCACGACAATGCGCTAGCTTGTGTTCTCTACACAGATCCTGGCAGAGGTACAATTCAAACAGCGGCCTCTTGCATTTTTGGATAGGAATGAGTCAAGTTTCTTTGCTGTTTACTTTGCAATTCGCTACACGTAATTTGGTGGCGGTTTTTACACTTGTTTGGGGGTAGGGGTTTTTTTTTTTTTTGGCTGACTCTCAAGATGCAATCGAGATACAAAGGCGTATTCTGAGTCACTGACACTCCAGTTCCAAAGAGGCTGGAGAGAGGCTGTTCTCAGTGGTGACAGAACAAGGAGCAAAGGTCTCAAGTTGCAGTGGGGGAGGTCTAGGTTGGATATTAGGAAAAATTATTTCCCTAGGAGGGAAGGGAAGCCCTGGGATGGGTTCCCTAGGGAGGGGGCAGAATCTCCACCCTTAGGGGGCTTTTAGGTGACAAAGCCCTGGCTGGGTGATTGAGTTGGGTGGGTCCTGCCTTGGGCAGGGGGCTGGAGTAGATGACTCCTGAGGTCTCTTCCCACCCTAGGATTCTATGATTCTAAGCTGCCCTCCGCATGCTGTCTGGTCTGAATTGCCAGTTTCAACCCCTCTCCCACGACACTCTTGCCGGCTGCTTTCACAACAGGCATGCAGGGAAACAGGAGGAAGGGCTATTGACTGACAGCGCGGGAAGGGACACAAGGTCAGAGCGTGCAGTGCCTAGCAACACTCACTAGGCTCAAATTAAAAAAAGAAATTGACATCAAAGAGATTAGATGGAAAAC